TCTAATCGTAGTATTACTGTAAGAATGCAATGCATGCAGGACTGGCATGTGGGTCAGCTGTGTTTCCAATGACATCTACCCAACGTTTAAACTTGACTGGTTCTTGCTTACTCATTCTCAAAGAATGGGAATCATCAGAGTTTTTTGAAGAAGCTTTACATATTTGAATGAAAAAAGACACTGACATGGATTATTTGGAAGCACCAGTATACCCAAACTAGCCAGTCTTGAAAAAAAGATGATAACAGTGTTCCTTTAACACTGAAGATAAAATTGTTAGCATGATGTCACAACAAACCAATTTCCTCTTTGTTTGAAGATAACTTCTGCAAATGAGTGGATGATCAGCATTATCCAGCCCTACAAATGTTGAATTTAACCCAGCTATGGGAACACATACTGTGGCTCTTAATGTACGTATAAAGTATATCCAGACCAAAGGTCATTGATAAGAGGTAAGTTGATGATTTAAAACAAAGTCTGCACGAGGCTTAAGATTTGTTAACAAAGCGAACGCTCACCTGACAGGCTTTACAAGCTCTCTCTCTCACCTCTCATCTTAAAAGCCACTGAGTCAAAAAAGCCAGTTTGACTGGAAGAACATCTATCGGCCCAGCCTCCAGATCAGCTAACTGCTGGTGAGGTAATGTGAGCAGAGAGCTGGGTTAACACATCAACATCCGCTTCCACAGACTTAGAAAATGATATCTATAGACGATTACGCTTCAATGAAACTAAGGCCCTCAGATTAATCCTTGAGGAAATGATGTGTACTTGCTGAAATTTTTGTTTTTAAACTACAAATTTGCCTTTCAAAAAAGAAGGTACTGTAAATGTCATAAGGTTAATTTTAATGACATCTGTATGATAAACGTGTAATGACACACTACCGTTCAAAAGTTTGGGCTCCATAAGATTTGTTTTTGAATGCTCAGCTCACCTACATTTATTTGATACAGTAAAAACCGTAATATTGTAAAATAATATTACAATTTAAAATAACATTCTATTTTTATATATTTTATGCAATTTATTCATGTGATGGCAAAGCTGAATCTTCAGCATTACTCCAGACTTTAGTGTCACATTATCTTTCAGAAATCATTCAAATATGCTGATTTTGTGTGTGATAAAAACTTAACATATGCTTAATATTTTATGCAAACTGTGAAACTTTTTTTTTTTCAGGATTCTTTGATGAATAGAAAGTTCACTACTTCAAAGTTAAATTAAACACACATTTTTTTTAATTGCCAAAAATGACTGAATTAATTAACTATTACATTTTTTGAAGCATTTCATTTATTAGTTCTCACATTTGACCTCAATAATGCATTCCCAACAGATTATTTACAATAACTTCCTGGGTGTGGATTTTTAAAGAAAATGATGTCAATACAACTATTGTTATTTTCGTTTTATTATAATAAAAGAGTAAATAGAGCCACCTTTCAGCTTCAGTACTGCCTGACCTACTATCACAAAAATTGTTTACTCCCTCTCTGCCGTTCTCAGGGGCTTGGCAGTAGCAAATTTGAGAAATTAATTTAAGAGGATATCTGATGGATATTTCTAGGTGAAGGTTCCCAGGGAGCAAATGGAAGCTGCAGTCCAAAACAACCTCAAAGAGAGAGTTTGAGTACCTAACTCTGCAAAGCTTTTATATAAAAAATAAAAAGAAATTTTATAACAGGCTACTTCAGGACATAAATTGCAAGGCAAGGCAAAAGTCGCCGCCGAGTTCCCATGAGTCAGTTCAGGTGACAAAGGATGCATAGCCACAGCACCTGTCCTATGATTCTGCACACATTTATCAAGAGAAGCTGAAGAGTTTTGAGCAAGGATTCAAATGAAAACTTGAGGCTGAAGGGGTGGGCTTTCTGGTTGAAGTTCCAGTAACAGTTTTGTTATTCAGAGAGGTATGGGGGATGGAGAGCATTGAAAAAGCACAGCAGTATAGCTTCCTGGGTAAAACTATCGAGCCTTCTCCTTTTTCAAAGCCTTTATAATGCCCTCAAATTGTTTTTACACCCGGATTACTTCAGTTAATATTTGCTATTTTTGCATAGCTGAAGTCAATAACTGAAGCAGATGCAGTGAGATTTTCCGCATTGAGTTGCTCAGCACTATTTGCATATGTTATTACACAATATAAAAAGCACACAAACACAGTTTAGGGAGGGTTTATGCCACTTCCCAGTAACATAAGTACATCCAACCCATGAGTTAGCCACTGCATACAAAAAGTGGTGGCCAATGATAAGATTACAGCTGAGAGGGGAGTCGCTGCAGCGGTCCATATTCTATCACCAGGGTGTTTTTGTGTTGCCTCATGGCCTGTGACTGTTACACCTTAGCACATAGTAAAAGTCCACAGGGAGGCAAAGTAGTGTCAGGAGGGGAACTCCCGTCACAGCGGGGTTCCTGCACCCTTCCCACACAACTGTTTTCCCCTCCAAAAACAGCCCATCCTTCAGGCAATCAGATGTAGCCGTTAAATCAGCTCACGAGGGGTCTCGGTTTAAATATACTCTTAAAAACAAGGATCCAAAAGCGGCTTTTTGCTGCGATGCCATTTAGGCTCCCTAAAGAACATGTCAGTGAACAGTTCTTAAATTAACCTTTTTTTTTTTAGTGTTTTAATAATCCAAAGAACCCTTTTCTATGAGCATTTGCGTGAAAAAAGCCCAAAACAGAGCCCTTAAGGAGGCTTCCTCCCACTTGTGCTGAAAATGCCAAGTTTTATCACTCAAGTACTTTCGTTTATAAACCAAGGGAGCTCACGTGCCTCTGGAGTGTTTATGTATACACAATGATATAAACCATGGTTTACGCCAATTAACTGGGTCAGGAGGGCGCAGTGTAAACATGTCAATCCGTGCAGCTAAACACACTGCTATTTTATTGTTATACTGAGTTGAATTAATTGGAAAAGTGCTGATGGTGGACGGCTGTTTATGATGTGCTTTATTGGGTGGCTGGAGGGTGTAGGACGGTCTAACCCCCACTGACACTCACCCGAGTAGAGTTCCTGGGAGGTTCGCACCTCCGGGAGGGATTATTATCCTGTCAGGAGCATCTTCACAGCAACTTAACAGGATCATTTCAAACCAGAGTTGTTTTCACAGCCTTTATGGGAATGGTCATTCCAAATGGTCAGAGGGGAATGAAGCAATACCACATGGGAAACCATATTTGAATAACAAGGTCTAAGCAAGGATGCATTAAACTGATAGTAAAGTTCTCTCTCGAATACTGTTCTTTTGAACTTTCCATTCATAAAAGAACAAATAAATAAAAATTTTCCCCCAACTGTTTTCAGCATTGATAATGTTCCTTGAGCAGCAACTCATCAATACAATGAGCTCTGAAGGATCATATGCCACAAACAACTGGAGAAATGAACAACTGAAATCTCAGCTTTGCCATCACAAGAATAAATTATACTTTAAAACACAGAAAAGGCCCATGTGTGATAATGTTTCAAACTAAAACCATGTTAACACAAATATTGTTGAATTCTGTTATACAAATTTTTTTTTTAAAAGTGCCTCATTGTAACTCAAATTGTGATTGTTTTTTTGTTTCTTTAAAGAAAGGAGGAGCAGTCAAACTAATTTCCCTTGGTAATCAATGACAGATTTGCCATCGTTAACTTGTACTGAATCTAGAATATTCATTTAAACACGAGGAATTTGTGTTAGGGATGCACCGATATGAAAATTTTGGCCGATACCGATAATTCTTTATTTTTGAAAGCCGATAACCGATATGTTGGCCGATAAATCTATATCCAAATTGTTATATACTTTTTGAGAGCCTGATTACAAAAAAGGTCTCATCATTAAAAGTTGTGTTCTTAATCATTGCTGACAGTTGCTTTTAAAAGTGAAGGGAATGTTTCACGGTGTAAATACAAAGCAGCATGAACACAAATAAACAAATGGGTGGTTTCTCTTTCCTTTCCCCAAACAGTTAAACTTGAATGACAACTCTTACACGTGTCTATGCAACAAGTTCCTATAAGGAACTTGCAGAATATTTAAATACAGAGGTGGCATGGAAAACATTTCCTCAGAATATGTAAAGGTTAGCAGAATCCTAAATAAAGATAAACACAACAACAAAAGTCTTGTTTTCACAAAACCACAGTAAGAGCTATAGTGTGACGAATGTTCATAACAGCTGTGCACCAGAAATACTGAAACTGATACTGCAAGAAAGCGTCACTTGCCTTCTGTTGTCTGACCTCTAGAAAGCATCTACTTGGTACAGACCACCACAGTATACATTACCACTTCCCATTTATAAAATTTAAATGAGATTCAGAAATTAATAACTACTTCGTTTTTAAGGAACATTCGTCACTTAAGTAGGCAAACTCAGAAGCTTTGTGATGCTGTGAACTCTGCAATAAGAGCTCAGATAAACTTAGTGAGTTCTGCTTGACATCCTGATGAAAGCAGGAACACAATTAAATGCCGACCCACCAAAAAGTAAATAAAATGGATTAGCATGATCCCTCAAATGACCCACACCAATGGCGGCCAAAAAAATTAAAATGCTGAAAGATGCACTGATGCTCCATACTTAAATAAATCAAACAAAATCCATGTATCAAATAAACGAGGATTATAAATGTTTATTAAAACGGTTGTTCATGTTTTCACTTTGATTTTTAAATAGGAAAAAATAATTACCAATACGATACCCATTTAAAATGTCATACCATTAAAAGAGTATAAACAGGAGATCATTACCATCATCAATATAAACTGATTTGGTTCCAGTTACCAAATATTGGCACACATGTCCCTCTAGTGGCTAATAAAAGGTCAGAATCATAAGGAAAAACTATCAGCTATAGTCACTGCAATTTTAATATAGAAAAATATTTAACATACTACAAAGTGTAAATCAAAATCAGGAGTGTACCTAATTATATGAAAAATATTAAAAGCACTACCAAATATAAAAATGTCCGATTATAAATGTTTTTTTTTTTTAAATAAAAGTTTAAAGGACCCAGTAAGTTTGTGGATGAATGCAACATGCATCTAACAAACCACTACATGCAACAAATATAATGTTGGTGATGATACAAAAACTACTAACAATACACTTATGGTTCATTCTTGGGATTTCCTATCTTTATCCCGTTTCAAAGAAAGACTCTGTAGAGTAAAAGAAAGAGCCATAAACTATTTAAAGACACAGAAATGTAAATTACGCAAAACATGTATAGTATGAAGGCAGCATAACATGAATCATTACCTCACTGTCATCTGGACTGTGCAAGAATCTCTTGACAGCTCCTGTACACTTGAACCAAACAATTCAGCCGAGGCTTTGAACTCTGCCGGAAGAATGCAACATGTTAATTTACAAACTGGCATGCCAAAGATTGCTATAATCTTGCTTTTGCAATAGAACAGCTGCTTCATACCTGGAAAAGAGGGACAACACTGGTCACTGTCTCAGGATCTGCTGGGTCCTTTATCAGAATGCACAAATAGTATATAATGCCGTGCTGAGGTGGAAACATGATACAAGGGTGATTATTTTTAGATCACAATATCAATCATGCACAAGAGTCTCAGGAGAAAACGGCACGTTTACCATATAAACAGCCTCGTTGATCACAATGTCTTTTAGCTTGTTCATCTCAATGAAGATCGTACTTTCTCGTCCAGATGCGCAAGATGAAGACAGCTGGACACCAAGGGAACCGATTATGAGAAGGGTCTCATGGTCCACCTTCACAAAGTGAATATGAATCATCATCCCCGCCAGAGTGAGCATGATGGCACTCGACAGGACAGTCGTGTTCTAGACATTTTAAAAAAGTCATTAGTAGTGGAATAATCTCATTGTACTATTGGAATATAATCTTACGAGTTCATATTCTTGCAGTATCAGATGTTCTTACCTCGGTGAAGAAAAATACAGCATAAGCAAATAACCAAACGAAGCAGGTGTAGACCATCACCTTGCGCAAGGACAGTTTCGGTGAGGTGACAGTAAACTCTCTGCAGAAAGCAGAGCGAGTTTGGCAGTCTAAAGAAATCGAGTTGCCATTTATGTCGGTGAACTCTTCCTCGGCCATGTTGATCACAGTCAGAAAATTATATGAATAAGGATTTAGGATTAAATAGCTTTGCTTTGACAGTCATTTGACAACAAACAGTGGAATCTTCTTCTTATGGGGTACGGCGTTGAATCATTAATAGAAAAGAGCTTTTCCGCCACCTAGTGGACTGGGTGTGAAAACAGTAAGAATTTGTTCCCATTGACCTTTTTCAGGATAGAAAGGCCCATTTAATTTTACGTGAATAAAAATGAGGGCCAGACAGTGGGTTGCCGCTACTGTTGTGTACCTAAATATCGGCCATTTAAAATGTACGTTTAAAAAAATAAATCAAAATGTGTTGTAAAAATTAGACAGTTCTGTATACAGGTTCTAGATCAAGCCGAATTTTCAAGACAGTATATTGTTTAGAATGGTCTAAATGTCTGTCCTTCAGAATTTTGCTGTCATTATTAAATTAAGTGTTGTCTGAATAGTCCATACAATAATTTGTTTTTACTAGTGATAAGTAACTTTTTAACAGCATAATCTTTGTGAAAATGAACATGAGGGACTTTCAACTTTAGGATACTTATATATATATATATATATATATAAAAAAAAAAAAAAAAAAAAAAAAAAAACCTCATTCCAAAAAAAATATTTTTTAAA